TGGACTATCTCTCTATCTCCAAAAGTCATAGAACATGTTTCTGATCACACACCTTTATCTAAGGGGATAAAATACATTTCCAGGATTTTACAGGAATAAATGTTAGTGTACTGCACACAAGATATATTATGATTCCTTTGGGTTAAAAGGTGAAATAAAGAAAAAAATATATAAAGTCAATGTTTTCTGTAATTAAGACTATTGGACTGTGGATTTCAGAAATGCAGTATTTTTAGATTTCAGAAAATGCTCTGTTCACTTATGAACTCTGCAAACATTACACACACATGTATGCAACAGTTACAGTTGCTTTGTGACATGCGATTCTTTCTGCCACAATGTCCACCTCGATAATACCACTTGGAGTCATCAAAGTCAGAAATTTAAAGGGATTTTAAATTATTAACAAATAACTCAGTGACGACTACTACTAGAACATATAATGGTAATACAGTATGACCCTTTTGTCTAACCTCTTTAAACACACTTACCTTGTTGGTCTGTCCTGACTGTCTGGTACCACGTGTCTGTGCTGAGTTTTGACAACTCAGCTTTGATGCCTCGGCCAGTTGTCATGCCGTTACAATACAACTCAGTCAGATACACACACACAGTGGAAGTGGCTTAGAAATCAGAGACCACTGTTTAGCAAATTCAAGGAACATTATATTTGTGACTTAAATCTCTGAGCCGCCACTGTGCTTATTTTGACTCAGTTACTGTGGCAGCTTCACCATGGTGACACTTCAGTTTTAATTGTGCCAGTAAAACACTGGGTTGCCATGCAGAATGTAAAGTAGAAATAGCTTCTTATGATTAAAACCCTGTGATCTCAGAAAAGTGGCCTTGGCTGAGCATTGGTGGAAAGATATGGTATAATATCCCATCCCAGAGTCATAAATGCATCTCAGTTTTAGCCACGGCAGGACAAACGCCTCCTCTGCATTGCCACCACTGCTTTTTTATCCATTTAATACCTTGTTTATTCCGAGCAGAGAGCATGTTTCGGCCCACAGGGCCACAGACAAAGCAGGACTGTTCATTTATTCCTGTATAGTTAGCTTGACAATTATGTGTTTTGAATTTCAGTGTTTTTAGGACTTCCTTGCAAATTAAAGATAATTGTTTCATGCAAAATAGCCTCAATCCAGCCAGACTTCATTTCCCAAGAGGCTTACTGATGGGAGATGTGACAAGGTAATGATAGCCACCCACATCTGTGTGTCTGAATGGAATGTGGTCGAATCCCGATTAAGACACAGTGGTCAGACAGAACAATCAAACCCAATTGACTATCATGCATTGGTAGTTAGGACATAAAAAGCTCTCTCTCCTTGGTTTCTTGTTTTTTATTCTCACACTGTTTCCCAGCACTGGAAAGTGCAGAGAAACCCACAACGACTGTCCTTGATTTATCGCAGAATGAGAAACCGGATCCGTGTATTGGAGAGAACTCGATAGAGAACAGAAAATAACTGATGTAGAAAATTAATGAATCGTGAGATCCACTGTCTTGTTTGTCAAAGGGAGTGGGGAGAGGAAGAAAGGTGGACTCTCGTCCTACTTTTGCATATTGAGAGGAGGACATGTTTGAAGTAACAGCCACGGAGAGACAGGGAAGTGCTCCGGACCCAGGGGCCAAATGAATCCAGATGTCAGAGCATGTTCACAAGGTGGAGTCCACTTGTACAGTAGTTGTTTTTCCTTGTTTAAAAGTTCAGTCGCTTCTTTTTATTCCATTTTTCCTGGCAGTCTCCCACTCTCTCTTCCCTTTTTTCCTCTTTCGTGTTCTCTCTGTGTCACTCTCTTGGCAAATAAAAAACAAGCTTTTGCTTTTACTTAACAAGTACAGAATGTCTTGAGGATTTAATGATCCTGTCAAAACTCTAAGAAAGATGTGCATCCAGATAGGCCCCTCTTAAGAAGTATAAGACTGAGGTTTTGAAGTTTAACCTCATCTTTTGAGAGGCCTTGATTGATTCATCCATCTACATATTTTGAAAGCAGACAAAGCATCAGCGTCTGGAGCTGAAAAACACGGAAGTGCCAAAAACTGCAGTTCCTCGAATGGCCAGTTGAGGCTGGCTCCAAAAGTGAGTCAATCCCCATAGACTCCCATGTTAAAATGCCCAAATTTACAGCAGAAATTAACACGTTTACAGCCTGGTACAAAAAATGGTTTTGGTTTCTATACCTAATTTCCCCCTTCATCACAACTGTTTTTATGCATAATTGACAGGTGGGTGCTGTCACAGTTGGCTAGCCGCTTGGTGTCTGCTCGGCATTACCATGGCTACTTCGAGTCACCGAATGTGACCTCTCTGCAGTGTTTGTGGTGTTCGTGACTTTTGGAGGATTTTTCATGCAATACTGGGCAGATAATATGGCTTGCTGTGCGATTAATTGACTAATTAATTAACAGAATGTGAGGAAGTATGTGCTCCTCCTTTCTGGGGGGGTGAGTGAATTTCTAGTATAATTTTATTTATGTTAGCACTAATTAGCAAGTATTCATGTCTGCACTCACCATACTCGGCTTCTTAGCTTAGCTTGTCAAATAGCCAATTAGCCAACAAAAGAATTAGCCTTTGGTTAACCTTTGATGCCCAGTGGTGCTAACGGGCGCGTATGCTTGCCTCCGGCATGCACCAAAGTATCAGCTCCACACTCCACACACGACAGCTCTTCGCCCAGTTTTGGATTAGACAGGAGTTAGGCTGAGTCAGGTACTGCCAAGATGGCGACGCTGGAGCAGCCCACTCTCTGCTTCAAAGCCGCTCCTCAGAAACCTATGGATGACATCACAGAGACTATGTCCAACTTTATATACAGTCTATGATGTAGTCTAGTTGAGTTCTGTTTTTGCACCCACCACACCTCACAGAGAGTGAGATTAAACTGTGGTATTTCTGAGCATGATAATTTTATAATAACATTATGTAATGCTGTGAAACCTAAGCCTGTGAGTACATCTTGTGGTGTAAATGTTTTGTGGCTATTGAGCCTCGCGGCCTGACTGGCAGGCAAGCAGGCAGACCTCACACTGGTACCAGCTCTGCAGCCTCACAGGCTCAGGAGACAGTGAAGTGGAACTGAAACTGCAACTTTACAACTTCTCTGCCAATCTCATGCTATTTTTGCCCATTCCCTTTCTTTTCGGGTCTCTCATTTTGCTGCTCTTCTCGGTCTGTTGTTAGCTTGACATCTCTGGAGGGCTATCAGACTGCTTCCAGCCTACAGTCAGACCACGTTTCACCACCCTTTACTTTACAGTAATAATCCCTAACAGACCATTACATCTAATGTCTGTCTGCTTTATTTCTGTCACAGGCAGTCACGCTCTTCAGAACCCATTTAATAGGCTACATCTTTAAATGTTTTGTGTGTGGGAGCTGCTCTGATGATGACAATAGTGTTTTCGGGCCCATTACAAATGAGTTGTGCCTTTCACTGACCAGTGGGGAGTCCCTGTGTGTCACAGACAGCGGTCATATTAGTGCAGCTGTTGAGGAGGACATGACTGTTGTTATCCTTCTGTCTGTGAGCAGGGAGGGGCTCCACACACACAGGCACACACACACACACAAACACACATACACTCGTTTGGTAACAATCACTGTGCCAAAATAGATTCACTATGGGAAAGGTGCTGTTATGAAGGAATATGTGTTAATTAATTTTTTTTAAAAATCAAGGCCACAGTATATCATTGATGACCTTTTGATCATACACTGTGGGCTTATGTTCAGTTCATTCACAATATGTATGTATGTGTGTGTATATGCGTGTGCGTGTGTGTGTGTGTATGTGTATGTGGTGGTAGTTGGGGAATGTGTGTTGGCACCCTCCTTTTCCTGTCTCAATTTCTGTACAGTTGCTACTGCTCCTTCATGTCCTGGCATGCTTTTAAGCTGACATCACACCCCAGAGGAGAGTGTTGTGTTCAGGGCACACATATACAAACTAACACACATACATGTATACAGTGCCACACAGTTTTGGAGGGAATGTGTGGAGAGTCACCGAAGGAGAACTGGACAGAGGGTTATAGGATTAAGTGGACGGAGAGTGAAGGAGAGGGTGGGATAAGAGAATGAGATGGCTGTACAGTAGAGGTCACATCCCATGTGACAATCAGCAAGAATAACCGTTTTCCTCTTGCCGTGTGGTCATTTTCAAATTAATATCTAAACATCTCTGAATTGCATCATACAATACACCATGTCAGTGAGCAGTGGAAGTGGGGCAGGTAAAGGGGTATATTGGAAAGGAAAGGATAGAAAACTAACAGGGAAGAGAGTCGAAGAGTTTTTCTAAATTGTATTTCTTTTCCACGCCCTTGGCTATCCGCTCTCAATCTTTCTGCTCTGTTACAGTACCTAGCTTGGCAAGAAGTGGCACTTCATTGGCACTAATCAGCCTCTGTACTGACATCATTGATTGCTGTACAGCTTCACTTGCTCACCAGGAAATGACATAAGAAGTGGATGACTCAACTCTTTCTCGAGCGTGTGTGTGTGTGTGTGTGTGTGTGAGAGAAATCCCTGTAGAATCTAGAATATACAGTATTTGCTGCAGAAAATGAGAACTGATTGCGGTTTGTGCTCATATCAGCAGCATTCAAGTCTCTCTCTCTCTCTCTCTCTCTGTGTCGCTTTCTCTCTCTCTCTCTCTCTCTCTGTCTCTCTGTCTTTTTCGCTCTCGCTCTCTGTCTCCTTAAGACATACTTATTGGGTGATGACTTCATACACAATGATTTCCAACTGCGTTATAGGGAAACTTGACACTGGTTTCTCAGCCCAACTTACTGATACACATAAGCCAAGCTTCACTGGTTGGGAGCCAGGGTTTGGAAATTTCAATGTCTTACCCATTTCACGGAGAGCTTGTAGATCATTCCATCAGTGATTTTATTAAATGACTGAATTCCCCATTTGTTCCCCGTCCTTGTCTTTCCTTCTTTCTCTTATCTCTGTGTTTCTCTTTTGCTTACCTTGCAGACATGTTCCAGTACCTACTATCCTTCTCTCAGGGCCACCTGAGTTCACTCCTGGAGGGAACCTACTCATCCCTGTCCCGCCATGCCCTGCCCCACGTAAATCAACTCTTCTCCTCGCTCTCCCTCTACCTCCGTGGGGCCAATGTTTCTGTGGAGGCAGCAGTTCACCAGTTTTTCAACAACCTCTTCCCGCTCGCCTACACACGGCTCATCAATCCAGGTATTGAAGGCAGCATGATGGTGGGCAGTGAAATGGGTGACTGTCTCCGTATGATCAGGCAGGATGTCAACCCTTTTGGGCCTCATCCAGCTGTCATGGCCCAGGAGCTGGCTGGGGCATTGGGAGCCGGGCGGCAACTTGGTCTGGCCCTGGAGGAGGGTGTGGAGGTGATGAATGCCACCGAACATGTCAGCCTGAGCAAAGAGTGTGTGAAGGGCCTCGTGAAGATGGTGTACTGCTCCCACTGCAGAGGCTTGACGCTGATCAAGCCCTGCGTGGGCTACTGTCTGAATGTAATGCGAGGTTGCTTGGCCAGTGTGTCAGAGCTGGATCAGCCCTGGAGGAGGTATACCAGTTTATTGGAGCAACTAACCCACGCCATGGCCGGCCACCACAGCCTGGAACTGGCCCTGCTCGGGGTCAGAGGGCACGTTAACGAGGCCTTGCTCTACGCGCAGCTCCACGGTCCACTCATCACCGCCACAGTGAGTACACACTGGAGAAACATAGATCAGCAGCTTTAATGGCACATGCAAAAAAACCTCCAAACCTTTTTGTTTAACATCTTTGTTTTATACATATACTTTGGCAATGTCCATTGTATTAATTGGAAAGGCTTTGCAGGCTGCTTGTGGGTTATGAGCTATTTTTTCCAGCAATGCAACAAAGAACCCTGCACACTGCATTAATGTTTACACAGTATTGAAACTATTCGGAGAAAAATAATGTTTATATTCCAAAAAAATTTCAGCCCTCTCCAAAGAAATGGGGGCTGGGTTGAGGCTAGAGAAAGACCAATTTTCCAAAATGGCAAGGCAGCTAAAAATGACCACTGCTGTTTAGATTCTTACTGTAAGGGACAATTATAAATTCCTCATTGACTAAAATGAAAATGAAAAAAAGTAGAGGCTGTAATGAGAATTGGGTGCACTTGCAGGCTATGAGTATTACCATATGCCTTAACCCATACTATATGTGGTTATAAGTTGGATGTTCACAACATGAAGACAGTTTCATGAATGACTGCCAGACATAACTGAATACTGCTTTTAAATCCACAGTGAAAATTGGGATTTTGTTTAACAATTTATCTTGGATTTGTACTTGTATGTTCTCACCACGCGTTGTGGTCAGACTATACTGAATAAACAAAATCCATTCAGTCGGCAGTTGTGTTTAATTTTGCAATACAAGTAAAGAAATTTTGATTTTAAAAACTACGGCACCATGGCTGGAAAAACTAGCGATAGACATAATCTCCTAATCCTAATATCCTAATCTTACACATATCCTTGCATGCAAATCATATGTAATACACCTACATCAGTTTAGTAGCTTTGTTTGCATGTCAGCCATTTGTCGTCTAAAATCAGCTTTCCTACACCGAACACCGAACACTGTCATCTTTACTTCACCTTTGAAGCAGTTCCCTCCTTTTATATCATATTTAAAAGGTGGAGGCATGCATGTGGGTGTCAGTAACATGAGTCATAGACCGAGGAGCAGAATGTGATTAGCAGAGATTTATGTACATCAAGAGGAAAAAAAAAAAACTTAACTCTCACAAGAATGTCAACCAAACAGTCCTATTGCATTTCCCTCCCTCCTTTAAATTTCAGACATGGTTGTCGACGCGGTGTGTGTATATTCACTGATTTTAAATGAATGTATAAGAGCACTTACAAATGTGTCTCCCCCTGGACATGAGTTGGAGAGTTTTGGACAGCGTGCTTCCACAACCTTTAGCGGTCCCCTTTACCAAATACGTGGCTGGACTTGACTTCCCTGACTTCTGGGAATCGTCTCTGTTATATCTGTTTATTCTCAGAGTCTGTGTCCGTCCTTTATTCATCCGTATTTATCATATCCTGTCAACACCTTGAGATATTCAGTTGGACTATAGCTTTCTGTGGTTACTGTGTTGCGTATGGGACCTTAGAATAGAAGAGCAATGCCTCAAATATGAAAGGTTGTGTAGGGTGGTGTTCTTCTGTAATATCTTTAATGGGACCGCTCGAGGACACGTCTACACTGGAACTGTTCCCAGGACTGGACTGAAACTATAAGACAGTGCTATAGAGGCCATAATGTGCATGTTCTTGGTTGATTAAACTTCTTGGTCCTTTTTTTTTAGTTAAATTACTGTTGCAATCCTTCAAAAAAATTATTGTCAAAAAGATTCTTAGGCCAGTAATTACTATGCAAGAAATAGAAATACACTTCTGCATTCACTGTACATTCCTGCTCAACATTTTTTAATCTCAGCTTTTGTAGTATTGTACTGTATTTTCAAAAGATTTTATCAGTAACTCGTTTTCCCTTGGGTCTCTTTCCAAACTGGGCAGACTTTCTGTGGCATCCATCACTGTGATACATTTTAGCCCTTGAAGTAATGCTCACTTCATTAGTTTGTGAACAAAGATCACAAAGCACTGCCATTACTATTATTATTGTTTGGCCCATGGGTTTAGTTCTCAGCTTGTGAATGCTAATGCTGTTAAGAAGGCAAACCTCAAGTCTTCATTAGCCCAACTTCACTTTAGCACATTTTTGTGCTACTGAGAAAAATGTCCAACATGAAAATACAATAACTGGAACTTTACAATGAAGTAAAAATACTGAAGAGGTGCTGTCCACTGTGACACTGTCTCTCTAGCGTCTTTCACTACTGTGTGGAAGTTGATTTTCGTAGTGTACCACAACGAACTGAGGTGAATGTTTGCCCGGAAGGTGGAAAAATACAGTTAACATGTACAGTGGCAGTAACCATAAAATGTATGTAATTTGTAGTTAATGGGGTTAAACATGTGAAACCACTGGTATGGTTCTTTAAAGTTGTGGAGGAACATCAAAGCCTCAATGATTCTACAATAAACACTCATTCCCAAATGCGTAGACACTTACTGTATACACACATGCATGCACAGACAGGGGAGGGACGGTTGCCAGGCTTGAAGATTGACCTAATACAACTATGCAGAGAGAGACCCAGCTTGTATTTCGTGTGTGTATGTACGCATGTGTGTGTGTGTATGCCTGCTTGGTATTCATGGGGTGGCAGGCGAGCCCGGAGCAGGGAGTCTAACACGAGGACAAGTGGGACAGAATTGAAAGGGTTCCAGCTAGGCCATACAAACTAGACCCAGCCAGCTGGAAAAAAGAGCCCAGAGAATTGCTGCAGGAAAAGGAGGTGGCCCCCAGACGGACACTGGTGGCTCCCATTTTCTGTGCTCTCATACGCTTCATGCAGGCGCATACACCCAGGCTAGAGTGCAAACATGAACACCAAAGTTTACTCACACACACACACACACGCACACGCACAAACACACACACACACACACACACACACACACACGCACATGCACACATACAGTCATGACACTCATGGCCTTTTTAAATCACAGTATGTTTTTATAAACCCACAGTGGCCTGTCAAGGAAAACTGTTAAGTCTCCAGTGCACAACTACTGTGTCAGCACTGCCACCTTCACCCTTATGCCTCCATATGCCCCCCCCATACGAACACCCCATTTAAAACACCTACTTTTTTTGATAATCATATACTATTTTATCCTAACTGTCTTACTGCAAAGCAAATAAACTGCAAATACCTTGCTTAACGTACTGCGGCTTTTTATAACTAATGCTGTATGTGTGAAGTCAAGCACAGACTCTGTTTTTTTGCAGAGTCAGAATATTATATGCAGTTGTTATTAAAGGAATTATTGTGACTGTGTGGTTTTACACTGGGATGTTATCCCAAACCATTTTGTGGTTGCTCTATTCAGTCATTTAGAGAGCTGCAGACTACACAGAGTCTCCACTATATGTTGCTATACGTCATGGGGTAGGACCTGGGTCACAACACATATACTGTACACACACACACACACACACACACACACACACACACACACACACACACACATATCACCACACCGTGTGCAGGTATCAGGTTTTTAGAAGTCCTGTAAGGAGTGTAGATGTGCGGCCCACCCTGTGACAATACTGGCAGTGCACGTGAGACTGAAAGGCAGCTATTGATATATGTGGGGCAGCAGCAGGATAGATTCTGTTTTAACACATTCCTGCTCTTATTGAGATGGAGCGTGAACGTGGGTCAGAGGGAAGTGGTTATGGTTATGGATACTGGGGGAGCCTGGGGCTGGATTATGTTGAGTAGACACAATTAGGAGAAAATTGGAAAATACCCAGTAAAAGTGGCGAACTCTTATTGGGCCCCAAAGCAAATGGTAGCTCCAATGTTTAGTGAGGTTTTCTCCCTCTCAATACTACATTGTTGAATTCATTTTAAAGTTACTCCCTCCAGAGTCAGCTGTGCTCGAGAGGCCGCAGACTGCTGTTTATTGACATGGCCATAAAAATGATATGCCTCGTATGACCTAGAGGGAAACTTTATATCTTCTGCTTGCTGAAGATGAGTAGACTTTTGGATAAATCTTAACACAAAGAAGCATGTACTGTATTCACTCACGCCGTCATTCACTCACTCACTCACTCACTCACTGACTCATTCACTCACCCACCCATTCTTTCTCTCACTCAGAACTTTATAGTGTGCTTATGAGAAAATAGTACCAGTGGTCCAGATTAAAACAGTTTATATGCAGGTCTACCTTATCCGCTTGTTGGTTTTACCCCGGCTTTTCATTACAGACTTATGGAGGAATGATAATAGCAGCCTGGGCCTTTAGATAATGGAAACAAGGGCCAGTGGGATGACTGGAAGGTTTCCATTCACCACGGCGGCACCTTAATAGACTGCAGTGGCTTACATTGCAAAAGCTGTTTTCTTTTTCTAGCCCTCAATAAAATGAAAGAATATTATTGGTATGAAAACAAACTTTGTTCTTATCGCACTTTCAGATTTTACTTTCCCCGTGCAATTCTCTGTAACCATGTATTTTTCATGGTTTAGTATAGGAGTGGGCTACATGATTATCTGCTTCGTGTCATCAGATATTTTGCCATATTGTTAATACCATGTTATTTATTTGGCCATTGTGAGCAATGTCGCAAATCAATGAGCAATAGAGTCAAAACTTTTTATAGCAATATTTGATTTTTAAGGGGTTTTCTGCATCAATGTTATGTTAACTTTACTGGTTGGGTATTTATTTTATAAGATTAGACAAAAACAGAAATCGGGTATTTAATCTATAAACAGTTTCTCATATATATATATATATATATATATATGTATATGTATATGTATATACATATATGTATGTGTATCTTCCAGGAACTTTTCTACATCACAATATAAATTCATCTTTCAGTTTAAAAGTAGGTTGGTTGAGGATTTTATTCATACCAGCCACTCCACTTCAGCATCATCTGACATTAAACATGGACAGTCTCTGTGTTACCTTTCAAATAAATTTATATACAAGACAATGAAATATGAAATTGAAGGTAGTTTCTACAGTCTTTACTTTCATCACTTTGTCCCATTTGATGA